GAAATTTTTACCGAAGGTGTAAATGCTCCCTTATTTGTCTTTATTTATCTTACGCAGTATATCCCAAATCAACGCTGGAACAGAATTTCATTTGCTGGAAACACTGCCATTTGCAAGGTGCTTTCGCTGCAGAGCCACTCTTGCTTTTTTTCTCTCCACTTAAACACCTTTTAAAAGTGTCATGCAGGTTTTTCCACTTCTTTTTGGCTTCCTCTGCCGTATAATGTCCTGTAAAATAAAAAAAATATATTTTTGTATTGAAAATTAGTAGGTAAAATTAATCACAAGCGCTATGAATATCCCACAAAAATTCTTAGATAAAATAGTTACTTTAAACAATTATATATATATATATATATATATATATATATTAATGAAACTGCTTGGGAATTGAAAATTTGCAATAATCTAAAATAAAAATTATTATATTCTATGTAAAAATTCTTTATAATAAATAATGTAACTAATAATTTTTATGGGATATTCATCATGCGCCTCTTAAACTTCATAATTACCATTAAGAGCCTGTGATACTTCTACCCACAACTTCTCCTTGGTAATTTTTTTGCGAAGAGTTACTGGAAGTGTGCAATTCCATAAAGGTTCACGAGCATAAACCTCCGCAATGAGTATCTCTTCTGGACTCCGCAGAATATTCCGGCGTACACTCTCATCGGCAGCCACACTCCTTTCGACAGACACATCTCCATCGGCAGACACATCACCATCGGCAGACACATCTTCATCGGCAGACACAACTCCATTGCCAGACCCATCCCCGTTGATAGGCAAACCACCAGAACCATCATCAAGAAGACCACTGACAACATTACTTCCATTTTCATTTGTATTGTCTGCAGCTAAAAAAATATATAAAATATACTCAAAAACAATTTATTAACATAAAATTTATTTTTTATCAATTTTAATCAATTAAGTAATTAATTAAACATTTAATCATTAATCAATCATTTATTAGATTCATCATTTTTTTTAATAATAATGTTATTTATTTACAATTATATTTTTAAAATTAATTTTAGTAATTTTTTGTATATTTATGAATCTGTTATTCTTGTAGTACAATTTATTATTACACAATTAGATTTTTCTAAACATTTATTGTGATTTTCTATTTTTATGTATTTAAAACAAAAATGCTTTCCAGCGCTAAGTTTTAAATATTTAAAATTCTAATGATTTCGCGCGCTTTTTAGAGCCCGTGATAAGACTATGAAATTTTTTTTATCGTATAATCATACCTTTTGTTTAAATCAACCGTGGAAATTAAATTAATAAATTCTAATAAAAAATATATGTATACTTACGAGGACTTATATTATGAAAATAATTATCATTATCCACATAAATATTTGTGCATTGAAAAGTGCACGGATGATTACACACATCTAAAAATTTGACGCCCTCCTTACACACGACACAGATATATTCCGGATTTTCCTAAAATGATTTTTTTAAATTAATATACAATTTACGATAAATATCTTACTAACTAAAAACAAGAATCATAGTATTTAATAAATTTTTTGAAAATCTATAATAAAGAATTAATATAAAAATAATATAAAATTTGTTTAATTTTAATAAATTAATTGAATTAAATTTAAATTAAATTAATTTCATACTTACTTCGCTACTTTCCATTTTATTAATTTTTTTACAATAAAAATGTAAATTTTAACTGTGACTTAACCACTACAGGAAAACTGCGAAAAAACATTTGCAAAATGTTGTCGCTATGAAGCTCAATAAAACCAGCTTCATAGCGACCAATAGCGACCGTCGCTTATTCGCTATTTATGCTTGTCGCTACGAATTTTTCGCCCCATGAAATTTCGCCTTAAAACGTCAAATAAACAATCACGAAAAGACGTAAACATTTTCAATGCAGTATACTTCATAAAGTTCTTTAAAAATTTAAATAAATGTTTCTGAAATATATTCTTAAAATAATTTTTAATTTAATATAATTAATTTGTAATTATGCGTAAATAGATTTCAGTTTTTTATATACATTGTTCTCAAAATTTGGTTAAAATCTTTTATTAATAAGGAGTGTCAAACTGTTTTTAAGTAGAATAAATAACGCAAGAAATATAAATTAAAAATAAACTTTTTTTGAAATGTAAATTTTTAAAGGAAAGTTGTAGCGTCGATATTGAATTCGTTGCTTTAGATTTAAAAAAAATTATTTTAAGTTACTTGTAAATAAAAGCAATGATTTATTACTAAACAAAATTATTCAGAGAAACAAAACCAATTATATTTAAATTCAATATTTTACACCATGATATATATTTAATAAGATATGGCGATGAATTTTCAAACTCTGATAATAATTTTTAATTTTTTTTAATTTAAATTAACATAAAAATTAAATCCTCCTCCTCCTCCACCACCTTTTCTTCCTCCCTTATTCCAATTATTCCACCTTTTCTTATAACTTCTGTTATAATAAATTTTCCTTTTTCCATTTAAAGCATTAGCCTTGAATGACTCATCATCTGTGTCCATCCTCAAACCTACGAGAATAATAGTTTTAATGATTTGTAAAAAGCAGTTTTATAAAAGAGAAATTAAATACAAATTAAAAAAATTATTAAACATATATGCATAAAAATTATATCACTATGAAATAAAAGCAGTCAGAAATTTCGTTTGGTCAAAAAAGGTTATGACAACTAATGGTAAATGTATAAAAATTCAGAAATTAATATTTAACTCACTTTCGCCCTTCAATGATTTTAGTTCTTCTTCTAAACTTTCGTTTCTCTTCTTTTCCTCCTCTATCGACTTTTTTAATTCAGCGATTTCTTTTTCGACTGATGACATTATTAATTTTTTAAGTAAAATTTTTTAGTGCAACCAAGAAACAAAATGAATAGAAACCAATTTCAATCGATTATGCTCGAATAATCGAAAAGAGAAGAAAAACATAAAAATTAAAGAAGAAAGACAAATATAATATAATCTAACATTCGAAAAAATGTGCTAGACTGAATTTAAAAGGTTAACTAAAATCTGACTTGGAATTAATTAATTGACTTAATTAATTAAATTTGAAATATAAAAAACTCAATAGTTTGAAAAATATTATCAACTTTTATTTATATCTTCCAATGACTCTTTATTATTTACATAAAAATTAAAATGAATCGCTCCTGTTTTATTTTCTTTCTGCAAATTCCTTCTCTGTCTTCCATCTATAAAAATAGTACTTAATGTATGTAATCATAAAAAATAAAATTTTGCAGTATTTAATATTTCAGCATATTAAGAACTTCTGCATAAGAACTGGAATAAAAATTATAAAATGATTTTTTGTTATTAATTATATGGGTATTGACTCTTTTGAATCAAAATATAAAATAAAACAATAAAATAAATTTAATTAACATTTTATTCTTAAATTAAGTAATTTCAAATGGTAAAAGTTTAAATTTAAAGAGGCTTTATTGAAATATATATATAAGACAATAAAAAATAGAAGAAATGCTTAAAAAAAATTTATTATTAAGAATCGTCGATAGAAAAAATTTTTAAAATTTATGTTAATGACATGACAACTGGTAAGAATATTAATTTACGGACACAACAATATAAAATAAATAATTAATTATCTTTTACCTTTTAAGGCATTTATGTCTTTTTCAAATTGCTTCCCCTTATTAAATTCTTTCTCTATGTTTCGTTTTAATTCTAAAATTTCTTTCTCTTTCGACATAGTTTTTTTTTAACAATCTGAATATATATTTGATTGTCATTTAGTTATATTTACCATAAAAGGTATAAGTCAGAGAACAAAACAAAAAATATATAAACGATAATATTCTTTTGCCTTCATATTGTTTCTAAAATAATTATCTGTCATTGACGTCCATATTATGCAGATTTATTATTAAAAAATGAAACCAGTTGAAAAAAAAGCAGTAGAGGAAGAATAATTACAGTGATAGATTCACAAGGAAAAAGAGTAATCGGGACAGGAAACAAGAATTCAGAGAAAGTGGTAAAATTAGAACAAACAAATTATTTTAACTGTCAAATACTTTAAACAAAAATATCCTTTATTTTCATGTATATTGCTAATTTTTAAAATCAAATGTAGTTAAACTACATAATTTATGCACTAAATAATTAAAAAAAATATGCGTCACAAGAACAAAATCAATTTTTCAAAAATTGTTTCCACAACATTGCTTCATCTATTTAGGTTAATCCAATCATCCGAATTTCAAAAATGCCTTCAGAAGCTGTGGATAAGAAAAAAATAGATCCGATGAAAATAAAGGTAAAAAATTGATATTAGGATGAATTTTAAAACAACAATATAGATAAAAATAATCCATTCTTTACAATGACTAAAATTTTACATTTAATTAAAACGAAGACAACGATTTTCCAAAATACGCCAAAATACGCCAAAAATACCTAACTGACTAACTAACTGACAGACTGACAGACTAACTGACTAGCTCACTAACTAACTGATTAACTTGACTGAGTAGATGAGTAACTGACTGACTGAATAATTGATTACCTGAATAACTGACTAATTGACTAACTGACTTACTGACAATCTGACTAACTGACTAACTGACTGACTAGCTTACTAACTAACTAACTGACTAACTAACTGACTAACTAACTGACTAGCTCACTAACTAACTGACTAACTAAATAACTAACTGACTAACTGACTATCTCACTAACTGACTGACTAATTGATTAACTGACTTACTGACTTACTGACTAACTGAATAACTGACAAACTAACTGACTAGCTCACTAACTGACTAACTAACTGACTAACTGACTGACTAGATGACTAAATGACTAAATGACTAACTGACTAACTAACTGACTGACTATCTCACTAACTAATTAACTGACTAACTGACTAGCTCACTAACTAACTGTCTGACTATTTGACTAACTGACTTACTGACTAACTGAATAACTGACTAACTAACTGACTAACTGACTAACTGACTAACTGACTAACTGACTAACTGACTAACTGACTAACTGACTAACTGACTGACTAACTGAGTACCTTACGATTTACTGTGATTTTTAGTTGACAATATTTAATTAATTTTGTATTAATTTTTCAGTTGTCAAAAGCAGCAGATGGCACTATTCAACACTTTCAGGATTTTAACAACTCTGAAAAATTGGAAGATAAAAAACAGAGCAACAATTAAATACTCAACAAACTGCGCAACAACTATTTGGTCAACAATCACAAGAGGAACAAATAAATCAACAACAACAATTACAACTACAACTCCAACAACTTCAACAACAACAACATCAAGATTTTCAACAGCAACAACAGGATCTAAAACAAAAAATGCAACTTTTGGAACAAAAAGAAAGAGATTTTAAAGAGAGACAGCAGATTTTAGTCGAGAGACAAAGAGAAATGGATGATCGCGAATCGGATTTGAATCAAAGAGAGATGAAAATAGGCGAAAAAGAATGTGTATTAAATGGTAATATAAGAAACCTTCAGGAACAAAATCAACAAATTAAACATAAACAACGACAACTTCAGGATCAAGAACAAGAAATTAAACAAAAACAACAATCAATTCATAAGCAGCAGCAGGAAATCGAAAAACTACAACAACAATTACAAGAAAGAGAAAAAGAAGTAGATCAACAAGAACAAGACAATTTACAATCACACCCAAATTACAAGGAATTACACGAATTAAACTTACAAAACACACACTTGCAAGAACTCGTGGAACAGCACTCCAAATTCTTGCAAGAGTACACAAACAAACTTTCAACATTACAAAAACAATTACAACCACCTCAACAACAAAAAACAAAAAAAGAAAATTACGAAAATCAGGAAAACGAAATTGACCCAGAACTACTATGTCAGAATAAAAAAGAAAAGCAGCTTCAAAAACCGAATCAAGTAAGATACTATGCGATTTATATTTATTGTAAATGGAATTAGAGAAATTGAAATTAGGCTATCCAAATTTCTGGTTATCCTAGGATGTACGCAGGATATCCTAAATATAAACTCTAACATAAAAGGATATTTTCGGATATCCAACAGACATTCTAGTCGTATCCAGAAATTAGACTATTTCTGAGATATTCTTAGGACATTCACGTATATTTCCAAGACATTGGATAACTTAATTTCAATCTCTTCCTCTTAATAATTTAAACAAATTTTTTTCTCATGTAAAATTCAAATTTCAAAAAAATGTATATTTCGTTTATAGGTTTAAATGTGTGTATAAAAAGATTTGAAAATTTCAGCACAAAAAGCGAAAATATCATCAGGGACAGCAGATCCAAGGAACTTCCTTCAGCCAACAATATTAACCCGTTACATTAGCTCCATCTACATTTCCAGCCATATATCAACAGCAACTTCCTCAACAACCCTATCTCATCACCCAACCACACGTCCAGAGTTTTGTTCCACAAATACCATCTCCTATCAATTTATTTGTAAGCTTTTATTTCACTTCTTTAGACAATAAGCATTCACCTATAAATTAACACATATATATCCAAAGCACATGCACACAAAACTCATACATACATGTACTTACACACACACGCAGAATATACATTCATATATCATCTAACATACTGACTGACTGACTGACTGACTGACTGACTGACTGACTGACTGACTGACTAAATAACTAAATGACTGACTAGATGAGTAACTGACTAACTGATTGACTAGCTGACTAACTAACTAAAAGACTGACTAGATGAGTAACTGACTAACTGAATGAATGAATGACTGACTGACTGACTGACTGACTGACCAACTGATTAGCTGACTAATTGACTAACTGACTAATTGACTAATTGACTAACTGACTAACTGAATGAATGACTGACTGACCAACTGATTAGCTGACTAATTGACTAACTGACTAATTGACTAATTGACTAATTGACTAATTGACTAATTGACTAATTGACTAACTGACTAACTGACTAACTGAATGAATGACTGACTGACCAACTGATTAGCTGACTAATTGACTAACTGACTAATTGACTAATTGACTAATTGACTAACTGACTTACTGACTTACTGACTTACTGACTTACTGAATAACTGACTAACTAACTGACTAGCTCACTAACTGACTGACTGACTGACTGACTGACTGATTGACTAGCTGACTAACTTACTTAAAACACATGCACACAAAACTTATACATACATGTACTTACACATACGCAGAATACACATTCACATATCAACTAACAAATTTACACGAAATTCAATTACACTTATATTTATACATACACACAAATCAATTACACATATAAAGTAACACGTGTATACAAGACTCATACACATAAAATACATTTACATATAAAGTTACACATATACATAAAACTCGTACATCATTATTATTAGTAATAACATCTTAAATCTGTTTTTTAGAATAGTCGACCTTATCCATTGTTCAGCAATTTGCCATGGACTCAAAACTGATCAATTGTTGAATTTAAATTTTTAATTTCTTTTAATAAATATTGATTACATAATTTAATTATCTTATATTATTCGTTAAATTTATTTTTTGTATTGAAAATGTTATTGTTTGTAAAAATAAATGAATATTTAACTTTTGTCCTATTTTGTTGGCAGCCAAACTACAGTAAGTAGAATATGTTCTTTTAACAACACACTTAGAAGAAAGTTTATTTAAAACAACCAAATTTTGGTTGAATCAACCAAATAAATGCAGTGCTATACATTTTGTTGAATGTTGACATATTTCAACCAAATTTATTAATTAAATGTTTTTATTTGCATGAACCAAACACTTTATTGCACTCAACAATATTTTTGTTTTCTTAAACCTAATATTTCGTTCTATACAAGCAAAAATTTATTTGAATAAAATAATATATTTTTTAAAATTATTCAATCGGTTTAACTACATATATTATATTTCTCTGATTAAAAATCTTCTAGTTTTTTAATTTTAACTTATTATTTTATTTTATTATACATGTTACAAATTAATTTATATTAATTTATAACAAGCAATATAAATAAAGTAATTCTGATATTTATTTATTTTGCTAGAAAATAACTTGTTTGTATTAATGATGCTTTTTAATGCTTAATAATAATAATTGCAAAAAATGTGAAAAACATTTTCTTTTTTATCTACTTTATTAAAAATTATGCCAAAAACGACATAAATAATTCAAGGTGCCTTGCAAAAAAAGCAAACCCTGTTTTCAAAACGAATCTTGACTGCTATACTTTGCTTTGCTTTGCTTTGCTTTGCTGATCTGTACTTTGCTTTGCTAATCGATTCTGAAATGATTCGATCAAAGTACAGTATACGCTCGAATGTGTATTTAGAAAGACTTTCTTTCTCTGTAGTTATTATGCTAGGAATTGTTGATTCAGTAATAATGTAATTGATTGATTTAATCAAAAAATTCAAATTTCAGTGCTGAATAAAGATGTTTGCAAAAATTATGCAATAGTCTGTGCTGCTTTTCTGTCATGAAAAATAATTGACTTAGTATAGCATTGTTGTATATTCTTTTAGCTACAAAATAAAGATGCTTTTGAAAATAGGACTTTATTCTCATTGCAGACTTTTAAATTGCAAACTTTTTGAGTAGAGCCAATGCTAGATTGATTATGCACTGTAAAAATTTTGCAAAATATTTTGATTTTCTTTATTTGAAATGATTAACTAAAAAAAATTGCTAATATCAAAATATGTATTGTTTGCTGAAAATATTTATAGAAATTATTGTGCGTAACCGAATTTTGATTTGTATTTTATTATGTATCTTCGCCAAATACATTTGTAGAATTTATGATAAAAATAATTCTTGTCTAAAATTGTACAAAAATTAGTAAAACGTCTTGGAAAAAATTCAAAAAAGATTCTTCAAGTACTTGACTTGCCGTAAAACTCAAATATATCAATCCACTTTCCGGTTCCGATTATATTTCTCTTTGTAAAAATTTTAATTTAGTATCTCAAGCTGAATACCAATACACTTAATCTGTAACATAATTAATCTCATGTACTTACTCTTAGAATTTGTTGCAGATTTACATAATACATCACAAAAGAACTTTTAAAAAATAATATTAAAATACATTATTTTCAGTAGAATAATCCTTGGTACTAATTATTTATTTACTTCAATCTTACATGGGTTTAAAAGAAACCCTTTTGTTCAAAAGTAGTAAATTAATTTTTTTATTATAATAGATCATTAAAAAATTATTAATGTTAATCTTTATTAAATTAGTAGGTTAAGTTACATATACCTAAGTTTTAATAACCTAGGTTTGAATTTTTTTCCTTAATATAAACTCCAAGATTTAATTTTTCAAACAGCAAAGAAGAAAGAAGAAATCAAATTTGATTGTAGCATACTTACTTAGAATACTGTACACGATTTATTTCAGAAGAATGTGTCCATTTTCTTTTCTTGTATTTCGGACCACGAACCAGCACATTATAAAAAATGAAAAAGAATTCTATCAAATTTCTTAAAATATTTGTTGTCTTCCGGGAATTTGGATATCCATGATATTTTATTGCATGGATATCCCTAGGTCGTCCAAAAAAGATATTTTATCCGCTCGAAGTCGTTTGAATATACCATGAATAAAATCCGGTAATATAAATGACACCATTTGCCAGTATTGATAATTTGCAGAAAATAATAACAATAATTATATTTTTTAATTAATTAACTAATTCATTTATAATATTTATATGGCTTACTTCCTTAAATTAAATGCAATATTATAAATATTTGAAGAATTCTTACCACACGTGGGAATCGATACCTCAACCTCACGCACCAAAGCCAAATACTTTGGTCACTCTGCTACGCTGAAGACGTGAAGTTGTAAAAGCGAAATTATTCTTTTAAATTGCACTACTGTCCGATAATCTACCATTATTGGTCCATGCTACGTTACATTTCTGGCAATAGTAATTTATTATCAAAGATACAAATTTTATTGGCAGCAATTATTATGTGCCAATAACGATATAAAATTCTTGCCACTACTGAAAATTATATTCCGGCATTACAGATTTAACAACTTTGCCGTAAACGCGATATTACTGTGCCAAGATTTGGACCAATCTTGAAAAATTAAATTATCTGACAATCGACACAGCTTTATAAGGGGCATTTTGAATATTAATACTGGTCCAGTAATTTTTGCCATTTTTAGGCAAATTTTTGCAGTCTTGTCATTTGATATAAATTGTTGCTGTAAAGGTATGTAAATTAATAAAAATCATGTAAAAAAGGATTTTATTTAAAAAGTTTCTGTTTTAAAAAATAATATAAATAAATATATATATAAATATATGAACGCTATTGCTGATTAACTTAATATATTGATTCATTATAAAATAATTTCTTCATTATATGTTGCAATTTATTGTTATACATGTACGATAAAAAAATTTAAAAAATTAGTTTTATTTATACTTTTAAAAACCGTCTGTATTTCACTTCAATTTTTTTTAACAATAATATTGTAACTCTGAGTACAAAAGTTAATGCGTAATGATGATAGAAATAATAAATAATCAAACAAAAAAATGTTTTTTACTTTTACTTTACTTTTTTTACTTTTATACGATACAAAGTTAAAAAGTATCATGCTTACTATCAATGCTTCTTTTATTTTATGAGATACAAAATAATAATAAGAAAAATTTATTCAACAGTCAAAAATGGGAAGCAAGACTTCAAATTATTATTATCATCGAAATATTCTTTAATTCTTTTACATTTATTTATAATCATATTGTAAATATAAATAAAAATAATAAAGCGATATTGCTTTCAGAATTTTAGTACCATATTTTTCTTAGTGTACATTTTTATTAAATATCCTATTTTATATCTAATCTTATGTTCAGAAAGCTTTCTATGATAAATATTTATGAATAAGTATTTCTTCACGACAATTTTATTGTATAATTATTATAGATTTAATAAAGAATCAATAAATAAAATGTTTTTGCACAAAATTTACTGTTTCAGTTTTACTTTTACGTCAAACATTTATAAAGAATCATTTTCTATAAAATAATATATTTGTCTCTGGTAATAACACAAAATCATTTTTCTCGCAATTTCTTTTTGACATAAAATAGTAATTCGTACAAATTTCTTAGTAAAAACAAATACAGAATTGATAAAAAATATATTCCACATGTAAATTTGCATGGAATTCTGCCTGTAATTTATACGGTAAACATTTGTGAAATTCGGGTTCAATTTTCTATACGAACTCCGGACTTTTTCTGAATGGTATTACTTTCATATATTTGTTGAAATTTCTATCCAATTTCTACAACAATTTTCGAAAAATTTAATAAAAAATTTCTTCAGTAATTAGCACGAATATTGTATAACATTCGTTTGAAAATGTGGTTGAAATTTTTTAGACAAGTATCACGTAAAGAGTTTGTATTGAATGTCCAGCGCAATTTTTAAAAAATTTCGTCAATAATTCGCACGAATATTGTACAAAATACGTTTAGAA